TGGTTACACAGGAAACAGCGCGACGACATGGTGGAGGATGTTATTGCTACCGAAGCTACAAGGAAGAAAATTTCCAAAGACGATGCCGCAAACGACGATGCTGATGCCACCGCATTGTTTAGTGTATTCGGAACGAAACAAAGAATCAAGATCAACAAAATCCTTAAAGATCACGGGCTCTACGCTCCACATAATATGGCAAACGACTTACAATATCTGATCACTCTACCCACAGCGGACGAAATCATGAGTGCACAAGGCGGAGAATCTGTGGAAGGATACACCCTGGAAAACATTGAACTGGAATATGAGTCCATTGATAATATTGACCTTGCAAGGAAGGCCGAAAACCTGTATGGATCCGAACGCGAGCTATCCTTCGAACATATCACCCTGATGAAGAAAGCCGAATGGGACAAAGACTCTACCACCATCAATGAGACAATCAATATACCACGTAGGAGCATGAAAGCCATCGTTATGTTATTCACAAACAAGACAAAAACCGATAGTGAGGAATATGTATACCCTAATATCGAAAAGGTCAAGGTAACCGTGGAAGGTATTCCCAATGCAGTCTATAGCCAAGGTATCCCGAAAACAAGACTATACGAGGAAGCAAGGCGACTGTTTGGTACTGGTGATATCAGCCACCAGACACTAACCAATTTCTTCAAAGACAAAAAGTTCGCCCTGGTCATTGATCTCAGAACCGTAAACGACGTCAACACATACGGAAACGGTGCTAAAATCCAGAACACCCAGTCCGGAATACTGGTGGAAATCACAAAGAAAGCTACAACCGCAAAAGTTGTATGTTATATGTTCGTCCTTTCCGATGGTGTTATTAAAATCATAAACGGACAACTAGCTGGAGTAAAGTACTAAATTATTTAAAGACTATAGTTTTTCCATACTCAACAGAGTTTGGAAAATTTTTATGCTTGATCATCAGTCTTCGGTCCTTCCTCCTCAGAAGGTGGTTGCTCAGGTGTTCTCCGATAAACATGCTTTACCGTCGTCACCCCACCACTAACAATACCCACTATCCACCATGTTGATGGCTTCCATAAGATTGGAAAATTTTTCAATCAGAGCTTCCACCAACACAGCGTTTGCCTTTTCCCTCTGTGCAACAATATAGTCCTTCCGAACTTTCATGATGACTTTTTCGGACGCTTTCCTGAGGTATTTTTCGGACTGAGTAATTTCCCCTGCATTGGACAGGCGGATAAGTTCTGCCCTATAGTCCTCGATCCCCGTATTTTCTACGGTCGGTGGCTCCTGTTCCATCCTTTTTATTATAACACCGGAATTTTTACCTCGTGATTAAACGGATGTACCAGGTCCACTTCAAGATGAGCATACTTATTCTCCTTCAGCTTCTCCTTAATAGACCTCATTTCCATATTGTCAACAAAAAGGTATTCATCCAGTATAATCTTCATGTCCTGCCTATTTGGGTTATAGAATGTTACTAATTTCGAAATATTCTGCCTGTACGGTTTAGCAATGGAGGTCAGCTGTTGGGTAATAACAATAGTGGAAATACTCATATGACGTGCGCCAAACCCAAGATCAACCAACTCCCCCGTACGGTCCTTTACAGACTTAGTGCTGGCACAATCATCCAAAATGATGAGGGATTCTCTTCCCTTGGTGAAGTCCACTACAAATTTAAGGTAATCCTTCACGTCATCCTGCCGGCAGGGGATAACAAAGAAATTGTCGTCCTCATGAATGAAATCTTGATCATAGGTCCTATTCCAGTGATAGGTAGGACAAATCAAAAATATATTTTCAAATTGGTGGAAGAACGTTGTCTTTAGCTCCCGAATGAGGTAATGCGTCTTCCCACAGGCTGTCATACCTACGATAATCATTTTGAATGGCATATTATTTTCTGGTTAAATAAAAATGGGATGCTTTTCCACAAAACCAGAAGTCGCAAACAGGGTGAAGCACAACAAAAATCATAAAAGGAGAAAAATGTTTAACCTGGGTATTGGTATTGAACGAGGAGACATCACGATGAGCGCACATACCCATATCGGTTACGCCAGCGCAACGGTAAAAAAATATGATAAACAAAACGATGAAGGTACCGCGAAAACTGATGTGGCTGTGCCTGATCAGCTGCCTATTGATCTCGATAACGGTTGAGGTCCTCCTTACCATCATCATCCTAAAATTATTACTTCAAATTTAATGCTTAATGGAACATTAATATTATTCAACATACTCCCAACCTAGTGTCTGAAATATTTTCTTACACCGATCGTGGGAAATCTTCCCCTTAGGAATATTAAGTAAAGACTCGTCTATCTCTACATTCAACCTCCTACACACCTGGTAAGTTAAAATATTGAGATTAGGATGCCTCTTCCTTTTGGGTTCCTCTGCCTCACAGATCTTCCTAATATTCTCTACAACTTCACGTGTTCTTCCTCCAAGCAAACCACAAGCCGTTATGTTCTTCCTCTGACAAAAACTATCGAACTTAAAACTAACGCTACTCTTGTCAGGACCATACATACGTGCCCTATTCCAACATCCATATTCCGAAACATAAGTAGTCGAACCAGATACCAACCCACACTCATTACACGTCCTTTCTCCACCTATATTAATAAACTGATGCTTACGTCCTTCAAAACGAAACTTTCGGTTGGGAACCTCCTCATCTGCATGTTGAATCGAATCCGGCTCTTCCGGACCAACGGAATCCAAGTACTCCTTATACGCTATCTCAAAAAGATCCATATTCCTGGTTGTATTCATACTTTTATTTACAAAGATTTCCATACCCTTATATTAGGGTATTAAAATCCGTTCAAATTCACAAAAGCATCTCCCTAGGTTTCCTGGGAGGATCCTCCAACACCTGTGCCTCATACAACGTCACCCGGATGGAGATTGCATCCTCGGTTACGTATACACCATCAATCCTAACGACCGCATCAAGATAAAACGCCCCTTCGGTGTACCTCTTGTGGCTCACAGGTTTACCGCCTCCGATAGGGTAAATCAGCGTATCACCATCAATCTTTGCATACAATACCGGATGCCAGTCCTTACGGTAGAGGCATCTCATGAACCTCTCGCCACGCCCGTATTCTGGTGGATCATTCACGTACTTATCAACTTCAGACTCTACGAGCTCTAAGGCGGATAAGAATGACTCCCTGTCCTCGAGCACTATCGGGACAGAGTATTTAATCTTACCAAACCTGTCGTCCGCAATTACTCCGTATGAAAATCAATTCTCGACCTTTAACAAGAGCAGACCCCGATCCTGTGTTAGTATTTTGATACTGTTGAATTTAGATATCCCGTTAATAACGTCCTCGAAAGTAAATGAATCCTTGGTGAAGTCTGTGATATTGGTAATGGACATGGCTGATTGTCATACATCACATATCTACCCAGGTATATGTTGATTCTGTCAAAAATGATTTCCGAAAAAACTTCAGAAAGACTCCAGCAAGCATGAATGTGGGAGGGCTGTGCGGAAGGTTGTGCGGAGACTGTGCGGAGGACTTGCGGATGGCTGTACGTTGTCGTGCGCGTTGTCGTGCGCGAGTTGGGGAAGAGGTTCCGGTGGGTAGGGTGTTCCCAGTGTGGCGCCAGGGTTGTGGGGGTTGGGCATGCCCATACTTGCCCGGGTACACTATAATTTTTCTTACATGAAGTATTGACATTTTATGGGATAAAAAATGTAGTGATGATTTTATGTGATAAAAAATGTAGTGATGAGCCAGTACCGCCACTTATTAGCTACTAATGTAGCCATGTTTGGCCATGAAACTCAAACCGCGGAAAAAATTTTTTATTTATATCTTTTTTCCTAGGTGAAAATTACTTTGCCTAAAAATTTGCACAGTTGTTGATAAAGTTATTGAAAATCGATTTTTATTCAAAAGAAAACTGGCTTTTTTGTTAAAACATGATTTTTCACCTGGTTTTGACCTGGTCTCACAGGAAACCATGGATGAACAGTAAGATTAGCGAAGCTATGCAAGATCGCGACTACCATCATCGCAAAGCCGTAAAGTCACACAAAACCTATCATTGGAATATGTACAAAAAATTGAGAAACTTTGTTAATAAAGAAGTTAAATCGGCCAAGTCCAAATACTACTGCGAGCTAATTGAACAAAGTAAAGGTGACTCCAGCAGGATTTGGAAGGCGGTTAACGAAGTTTCGTCACGCGATAACAAGAGCTCCACCCCGCAGTACATTGTCACTGATGGGGTAAAACACTCAGACCCCAAATCTATTGCCATTGCCCTTAACACTTATTTCGCCTCAGTCGAAAAATCCTTAGCTGCAAAGTTTACAACTGTCTCACAAACATTTACAGCAAGTCCCACTCCTGTCCCGGAAACAATGTTTGAGCTCGAAGAAGTACAAGAATCCTATGTTCTTGCACAACTCCAGACTTTGAAAACCAACAAAGCTATCGGTTCGGACAAAATAAGCGCAGGACTGTTAAAATGTGCGTCTTGTTCAATCAGCACGTCTGTAACAAGATTACTTAATCTTTCCATCAAGAGCAACCATTTCCCAAAGATTTGGAAATGTGCTAAGGTCACGGCCCTATTTAAATCAGGTGAACGTTCCAATTCTACAAACTATCGTCCTATCTCGGTCTTGCCTACTCTAAGTAAGATCTTAGAGAGAACCGTTCACTCGCAATTGTATAGCCACCTAACTACTAACAACTTGCTCACAAGCAAGCAGTTTGGATTTCGACAAAGGTACTCAACCATCACTGCCCTGACCAACTTTGCGGATGAAACCCTGAGTAACATGGAATGTGGAAGGCTTTGTGAAGCTGTATTTCTAGATTTGTCGAAGGCATTCGATACAGTGGACCACAGCATCTTACTCCACAAACTTAAAGCGATGGGTGTGTCATCTAGCACCGTAGGTTGGTTTGAGTCCTACCTGAGCAACCGGATGCAACAAACGTCTTGTGGAAGTGAATTGTCAGACGCTCTTCCTGTCACTTTTGGAGTACCCAAGGGGAGCATTTTGGGCCCACTTCTCTTTCTCGTGTACATAAACGATCTGCCCAGTATTACCAATAAATGCAATGTTTCCTTGTATGCCGACAACACAGTCTTGTATTGCTACGCCTCAGATGTCAATGATCTTGAAAAAAATCTTAGTGAAGATTTACTCAAGTTAGCGATTTGGTTAAATGAGAATAAGCTGACACTGAATTTAAATACTCGATCAATGATTATAGGCAGTGATAGGAAGTTATGTAATGTATCTTCGATATCTGTCTCTGTCAACAATACTGAAGTCTCCAACGCCAGCAATTTCAAGTACTTAGGAGTCACCATCACAGCCAACTTCACCTGGTCAGAACATATAGATCGCATTTTCGCTAAAGTCAATCAACGCCTAGGTCTACTTCGTAGGATTAAACACCTGCTACCATTTAATGCACGAATCCTTTTTTATAACAGTCTCGTACTCCTAATCTTTGACTACGCGGATGTTATATGGGAAGACAAAAATAATACAGTGCTAATGAACAATCTTCAGATACTCCAGAACAAAGCCGCCAAGATTGTTTTAGATAGACCATATTTTTCATCGGCAACAGACGCGTTAAACATCTTAGGCTGGACCACTCTTGAACAACGCAGATTGTATCATAGATGTTTATTTGTTTTTAAGTGTCTAAATAATCATACTTCACATGGATTTGAACTTCTAGCGAACAGAGAAATACACAACTACAATACGCGATCTAAGGACAATTTAAGTCCACCTAAAGTGTCAAGGAATTGGGGAAAGCAAAGACTCACTTATCAGGCCATAACAGACTGGAACAACTTGGACAGAAAGATAAAACTATCTACTAGTATTTCTACATTTAAGAGAAACTTTTTTAGCAATCTTTGAACTTTCCCTCGTATAATTTTTTAATAATTTTCATAGTTATGTAGTATATGCATGTCTTCCTTGTATAATAGTTTATTTAGTTCAGGATCTTTCTGAAAATCACTTTGTGAGAAAGCTTCCTGAAATTAAATATTAATTAAAAAAAAAACCCAAAAAAACGACAAAGGCACTGTCAGCCATTTTTGCTCATGAAACACGAAGCGCGGAAAAAATGTTTCGACTTGCATCTTTTTTCCTAGGTGAAAAAGTTTGCCTAAAATTTTGCACAGTTGTTGTTTAAAGTTATTTAAAATTGATTTTTCTTAAAAAGAAGACCAGCTTTTTTGTTAAAACATGATTTTTTCACCTAGTTTTGACCTGGTCTCACATGAAACGACGAAGGTACTGTCAGCCATTTTTACTCATGAAACAAGAAGCGCGGAAAGAAATGTTTCGACATGATTTTTTTCCTAGGTGAAAAACTTTGCCTAAAATTTTGTACAGTTATTAATAAAGCTATTGAAAATCGATTTTTATTATAAAGAAGACCGACTTTTTTTTGTTAAAATTAAACACAGCTTTTCGGCTTGGTTGTGCCATGGTCTCACTCGAAAGGACAAGGTCAATGTAAACATGTTTGGCCATGAAACTCAAACCGCGGAAAAAATGTTTTTATTTATATTTTTTTTCCGGGTGAAAAACTTTGCTTAAAAATTTGCACAGTTGTTATTAAAGTTATTTAAAATCGATTTTTCTTAAAAAGAAGACCGGCTTTTTTGTTAAAACATGATTTTTACCGGCACTGTCAGCGATTTTTACTAATGAAACACGAAGCGCGGAAAAAAATGTTTCGACTTGTATCTTTCTCAGTTCTCTATGACGTTATTAATAAAAGATAGTCCCAAGCTATAGACTCGCAGGAAAAACCGTATCTTTAGAAAAAATATCCGTTTCAAGCACTTTATATCTTTAAAACTGTACTGACCTTTTCGGCTGTTCTAGACAAACCACATTTTCTTTAATACAATTTTCTCTCTTGACTGTAGCATAAACTTTAAGTATACATAAACTTCTCATTCCATATAGTTCATCCCAGAGGTAAATCGTTTTGGTGTTCATTTGCAAATGAGTTTCAACTAGCCCATGTTTCTTATTTTAACTCTTGGCGTGTCTTTCTTTTCAAATGTTGATATTCGAATGAGAATTTCCCATATTCGCAAACCTACGGGGGGTCCGCGCATCACACATAGAACAGGGGCGTCGTTGCCGTTTCCACGCCCGTAGTTTATAGCGCCCTGGCCCAAACATTCCATATTGATGACGTCAATGCACTCTGGATCTGGGCGTCGCCTCCAATTGGCTAGCTAGTTTATAATTATTGCGTAAATTACTAGAGAACAAGAAGTGACATTTCAACAAATTGCACGTCACAAGCACTTCAGGTGTAGGAAATTTTGCTTCTTTTAAATACATGTTCCTATAGTGTTTCCAATTATAAGCTATGGCAACATTTTAAAAAGAGCATGCTGTCACACTCCATTATCACACTCCTTGGGTGTCATTTACGGCTTGAAATTGTTGCCTCTTTTGTAAAAGCAACAATTTCTACCTCACCACAAACTTCACAAACTTTTTATCAGCAACACAGTTAAAGTCAGCTATAGTTGCATGAACAATGTGAGATCCATCATTACTCAACACAATGCGCGCATAAGTAGGAAAAACCTGCCACATAACGAGGACACAGACAATTATAATCGTAGGAAGGCATGCAAGACTAAGGACATAGTATACAAGGCAACTGTCACAACAAGCAACACAAACAGCATGAAACACTACATTTGCATGACATCAACCACCTTTAAAGAGCGATACCGAAACCACAACAGGTCTTTCAATCACAAAAAAGTACTCAAACGATACAGAACTTTCGAAATATATTTGGAAATTAAAAGAAAACAAACAAGATTTCGACATAACCTGGTAAATACTAACGCGCAGTTTCTTATACGAGAGGATCAAAACGATGTAATTTGTGTTTAGAGGAAAAACTCTGTATTTTGAAGGAAGAAAACAAACAATTTTTACTTTACAAAAAATTGGAAATAGTTTCGACATGTAATCATAAAAGGAAATTCCTAGTAAACATGAATGATAATAATGGAAGGAATACATGTATTGTTTCACGCCCACGTTTCCGACCGTAAACATTTGAGCAGCCCACATTTCGACTGAATTTGGCAGATACTATGGTTATACATTCAACCCTGAAACGAATAACTTTTCCACCCAGCTGTACATAAAACCTATCCACAACAATGGCATCGTTCCATGGGAAAGTCACGGATCCTTCGCAACCAAACGAGCTAAAGAACTCGTTAATTGTGCGATAGATGCTATGTTAATTGTTAGACAGATGATGGAGAGAAAACTAGAATTCCAACAGGAGAGCCGCTGGGGATTATTGGACTTAGAGAAGGGGTATGACAAAATTAAGAGAGGAATGATCCCACCAGCCCTGCGATGGTACCACGTTCCAGAGAATCTGATAAACATGGTGATGACGTTGTACAGAACACCAGGTATATAAGTGGGAACAAGTTTTGATTAAACTAAGGCATTTGAAGTGAAAGTAGACCTAAATGAGGATTCAGCCCGCAGTCCACTGCTGTTCATAACACTGATGGACTGCATCAGTAAGCAGTGCCCGATGGAGAGAGGGCAGACGGTGATTTATGCTGATGACATCGCTTTGGAGGCCAAAAAGACAGAGGAATTACAACAAGCAGTAGAGATGTGGACAACAAACTGGCAGTACAGGGTATGAGTATGAGCAAGAAGAAAACGGAAGTACTAGAAGTCTCAAGAGGACAACCAGTGCCAAGGCTGGAGAATATAGTGGGTGGACAGCAACTGAGACAAACAACCGGTATCTAGAAAGCTGGCAACACGAGAATGGAGATTTGGACAGAGAGATACAGACAAGATTGCAGGGTACAGGAAATGCATGGAGGAATGTATAAGTGGTCAGAGTAATACACGATAAACGGATGCCGATTAGACTGGAAATTCAAGTGTACAACAATGGTAAGACCTTTTGATTCTTTATGGGGCAGAGACCTGGGCAGTAAAGAAGAGCATGTGAAGAAATTGGAAGTGGCAGAGGTGACTACGAGCCATTAGAGGTCTAACAAGACGACATAGAATTAGGGACGTACACATAATTATCTATTAGACTAATGTGCCACTGTACGAATTAAACTAATAGTAATAAAGATACTTAGTGGAATTTATTGAGTCGTTGCACTTATTTATATATTTGAAATTATTGAAAACCGTTTGAAACTATTTGTATAGGCCTATGTACTATTCAAAACACGAGCATGCAGGAGTGCTTTATCAGATATGCAATACGAGAGCGCAGCTAGATTGTTTTATAACTGATAAAGCACGGACTGCGAGTGTTTTAAAAGGCTTAGAAAACGAACCATGTAAAGAGTTCACTGGCGAAGTAATTTTAAAAACAAACGTTGTCTTAGATAAGCCGAGAAAATCACACTCAGCTAAAGTTTATGTGAATAAACATGATTTTTTATCACATATAAAACAACCGACACGGCAGTCGATTTCCTTTGTCTTTTCCTCATGAATTGCTGAGTTATATACGTTGTTTCCTTGACCCATTCCCGATATCCAGAACTGAGCATTGGTAATCAAATTGCGCAAATATAGCAGTATACGCCTCCTGCATAAGTATATATATATATATATATATATATATATATATATATATATATATATATATATATATATATATATATATATATATATATATATATATAAAAAAAAACTGAACAGATTTAAAATTGCTCTCAATTTCGCAAAACAGCTATTTGTATCCGGTTTTTTATATATATAGCCTCTTTGGGTACTTATAATGTAGAATAATGAGAAAAATTTCTCAAACTCAAATTTTGTGAACCAGGGGGGTGTGTCTGTTCCAACAAACTAAAAATGGCTCGCGCACAAAATTTAAAAGCTGCAATCATATTTTGAGTTAATAGATGGAAAATTTGTCGAGATTTTAATTACTGTACAAAATTTCAGACAATTTGGTTTAGTTTAAGCCCCTTAACTATTCACGCAAAGTTACAATTTTTCCGAAAAACAGCTATCTGCATGCTTAATTAATGCATTTGCCTAATTTGCATATGTCAGCAATATGCAAATTAGGTAAAGGCATTAATTAAGCATGCGAAAGGCTGACTTTTTAGAACAAAATGAATAGTTAAAGGGCTTAAACTAAACCAAATTGTCTGAAATTTTGTACAGTAATTAAAAACCCGACAAATTTTCAACCTATTAACTCAAAATACGATTACAGCTTTTAAATTTTGTGCGCGAGCCATTTTTAGTTTGTTGGAAAAGACACACCCCCCTGGTTGACAAAATTTGAGTTCGAGATTTTTTTTTCATTATTTTACATTAAAAGTACCCAAAGAAGCTACAATCTTTGCCAGAAACTATGGGACAGCTGCTGTAATTTCATATATTTTGAAAGGAATAGCGCCCCCCGTTCCCCCAGTTCAATGTTGGGCCAACAAAAATCTGATGTCTACATGCGCGGCGCCAACATTGAAACGGGTGTGGGGAGGGAGCGTGGAAAATAT